CCAATGATAGACTGTCAAAGCCTGTCTCTGTACAGACCTAAGACGTGAAATTTTCTACAATAAGTCATGAAAGGCAGGTGGAGGAGGTTGTTAGGTGAGAAGAAGAAGTAAGGCCAGAACAGAGTTTAACCTTTCTCAAGTACCCCCAAAAAGCCACCCCCCAAAAAAACCCAACTCTGTGTGTGTGTGTGTGTTGTGTGTGTGTGTGTGTGTGTGTGTGTTGGGGGATATCTTATCTCCTAAACTATAAAATTCCATTTTAGAATAATGTTTACCTGATTTTAGGTAGGTGTGTCACTGCTCCAATTCATCTTTCATTTAATTATTCTCTGCCACATTAGTCTCAGTCAGATAACAAAATGTTCATGAGCTAAACCTGGGTAATTTTATTTTTGTTCTCTTCATTTAAAAAAAATTGCACTTTAAATTATTCTTTTCCAATTCTTATTTTAGGAAATAGCCAATGTGCTTTATATGTGAAAGAATTAAATGTTAAAATAATTTCAAATGGTATATTCTCAAGTCTTTATTAACAAATAGTGAAAAAATATCCAAGCATAATTCATTTATTTAAGTAAATATGAAAGTCTGTGGGCCTCCATTTCTTCATGTGGAACCAAATGGCTTCTGAAGTCTCTTTGATCTCTAGGGCTATCTTTTTATGGTCCATTCGTGATGAGAGAGGAGAGGTTGGAGGGTGGGGAAGGGATATTTTTTCTCCCATTAGGTTTTAGATATCTAGAAATTTGATTAGAATTAAGGGTTTGTCATCTCTAATCAGGATCAGAGGTCAATTTAGATTTATTCCCTGGGGATTTACTTATGTAGCTAGCCAAAGTCAGTCTTTCCATTTTTGTCAGAATATTTCTTAAAGTCCTGTTACTAAATATTATTTAGAAGTACGACTAAAACTCAGGAATTTCTTAGTAATGTAAACTAGTTGATAGAATTTTAAGTTTATCAAAGTTGAAAAATAAGCGATTAATTTGTTTACCTATACAGAAGCTCAAACTTCAGTAAAATCACATTGAAGCATTTACCATATTAGGTATTGACACCTACTCACAAAATTTAGAGTAGCTAAATTCCAAGATGGCAATATGAAGTTAATGGGTCATAGATATATAATTGGATAGAACCTCAAAAGCCGTGTTGTCCAAACCCTTCATTTTACAGATGAGGAAACCAAGTTAAAATGTCATGTCCCAGGGCACACAGGCTGTACATGTCAAGTAAATTTGAACCCAGGTTTAAGTGCAAATGCTCCATGGTGCTGCCTTTCCTTTGATATAACAGAAAGTCTCAAGTTGGGTTGATGATCCAGTTAGTATTCTGTATTTTGGAAAGTCTTCCAGAGCAGTCTCATCAGGCAGAGTTCTGCTTATTAACTAAAACAGAAGCAATCCTTGAGCCTAACCATCATCTATCAATCAATAAAGTATTTCATAAGCACCTACTATGGTCTTATCCCTTTGTTGCTAGGCATGCAAAAATAAAGGACAAGTGTCTAGTGTCCTCAAAAAGATTACATTCTATTGAACTTTAGATGATATGTACCTGTAAGCACACACTAAAGTAAATAAATAAATAAATATAGGAATGAACAAACAGGTAAATAAATAGGTACAAGGGTTTTTGATGTTCATGATACTCTTTTATGGATTAAAATACAGAGTTTAGGCCCCACTCTTATGGAGCTATCTTGTGGTTAAATAAGAAATAAACAGATATTGTATAATATTACATGTTAAGGCTACATGTATTTTGAAGTTGTAAAAAGGCCTTATAAAAAGTTATTATCAATTAGGATAATAATGGAAGAAAATTATTTTGATTTTGAAATTTATATTAATCTATCCAGACATGCAGAGGTAAAATTGTAGGAACGATGTGCAATGGATTTGGAATCACCCAAGTCAGTTGGGTTCAAACCCTACTTCTATCGTTTTCTACCTATGTAACATTAAGCAAGTTAACCTCTCAAACTTCTGGAAAAAGCTGGACTAGGTAGATTTTCAGTTACTTTCTTCTCTAGTCATATGATCTTGGCAGTTATTAGACCTGGTGACAGCAAGACCTGAGTTCAAATAGTAACTCAAAACATTTAGTAGCTGTGTGACCCTGGGCAAGTCACATAACTCTCTCTTTATTAACAAATAGTGAAAAAATATCCAAGCATAGCTCATTTGTTTAAATAAATAGGAAAGTCTGTGGGCCTGCATTTTTTCACTTAGGAGGGTCTTGAACTAGATGGCTTCTGAAGTCCCTTTGATCTCTTGGTTTGTGTTCCTACAGTTCATTGGTGATGGGGATAGGGAAGTTGTTCACTTTCTTCAGTTGTAAAATGGGATGTGTATATAATAATAGCACCTATTTTCCATGGTTGTTGTAAGGCTCAATTGAGCTAGTATTTGTAAAGCACTTAACATAGTGCCTGGCACATTGTAGATACTAAATAAGTGCTAGGTATTTTTGTTATCTTATGACCTTTTACATGATGAGCAGAAAACCAAAATATATGGTTGTGCTTAGCCTTCAACCATCTTTTCATCCTTCTGGACCCTCAAAAAAATTACCTGTGAGCAATGAAGTTTTAAGTACATGAAATCATTAGATTTTAACACTTACCCATATAAGTCATATGCCACAACAACAGTTTGTGGCTTTATTTGGGGGTAAGAATGATCTGATTTTATTGTTGACTACATTGTAGATTTTGTAGTAAAAAAAAATTATATTATCAACCATTGTAATTAGAAGCCAATTTGTTTGCAGAATAATTTTTCCAGTGCACAGGTTTTATTGTGTTATACCCTGCTCCAAAATCTTGTGTCTCCCATTGTCTATAGGCTAAATTATGTTTAAAGCCTTTTGCAGTCTGGTTCCTATCTATTTTTCCAATCATTATATATTACCTCCTTTCATATACTTTCTGTTCCATCCAGTGTAGCCCAAGATTTGTTCCCTGAAGTCATCAATTCATCCTCTGCCCCTTGGATCTCACATGCCTGGAATCCATCTGACATAACGTTTACTTCTCAGAATCCTCAGTTTCCTTTGAGTCTCAGGAGTCATCTACATAAAGTCTCTCTTCTCCTCATCCATTTCTTTCTTTATTCTCTCTTTTAAGCTACATTGCATATAAATATCCATGTATATAGGTCATACCTTCTTAACCAGAAGAATGTAGACACTGAGAAGAGAGTCTAGTTTGTGTTTTGAATTTATAGACCTAGCACAGTATGATGCCTATTGTAGGCAGTTAATAAATGTTAAATTAAATTGAAATGTAGACATAGAATATTAGACCCAGTTAACCTTATATTTTAAATGTTTTTTATGCTGAGTTTCCTGCTAATTCACTGGACATATGACATTCTTGACAGCCTTAGGATGGAGAAAAAAATTACTGTTTCTTTTTTAGCTACTGATTTATATTATCATTTAATACATAAAAGAGAGCAGGACATGTTGGCTTCAAGTAGACTCTTGCCATTCTGAGGGATTGTATTCAAATGGACCTGTGGTAGTTAAATTTCATAGTGCACTCTAGCTTGCTGCTGTTAAAGGGAGATGAAGATGGAAATATCTCATTTGTCGCTTTCCTTTAGGTGTTTCTAATACTGTCTTGCACATACTAGACAATTAATAAATATAGGTTGAATTTGTTGGATTTGTTGAAATTCTTCCTTATAGCAGGGGCAGGGAAATGAGGAAAGGAAAAACTGAAAAACATACTTTGTTATTGTATTTTGCTGAATTAGAATTTGAAGTAAATTGCCTTCCAAATTTGTACTGAATCTTAACTCTGGTTTGACTTCCCCCTGGCACTTTTTTTTTTAGTGGTAATTTTAGTATAAGCAACTTTTGGCCTTGTTGGTCTTCCACATCATTTCTTGTCCTCTTTCCTATTTTCTGTCTCTGCTTTGCTGATCTTTAGATACTCTGTGCCTTCATTGTACTACATAAAATTCCCTATGACTTTCCAAAGTCCCATATCAACTGTGAGGTGTGTCCTCATTCTAAAATGTCCTTTTCCTACTGTCATCAGTTAGAATTCCCATTTTTTGAGGTTCTCTGGTTGATACAGTTAGGTGGAACAGTAAATAGAGCTCTGGGCCTGGATTCAGGAGAACCCGAGTTCAAATGTGGTCGTAGACACTCACTAGCTGAGGTTAATTCACTTAACCTCTTACTGTTTCAGTTTACTCATCTATAAAATGGGGATAATAGTACCTACCTCCTAGGGTTGTTGTGATGGTCAAATAAAATAATATTGTTATGTGCTTAGCATACTATCTGAAACATAGTAAGCATATATAAATGTTGGCTATTATTATTTGTATAGTTCTGATTATTATTACAGTTCTGATTATCTAATCAAAGTAAATCTTAGTGAAGGTATGAGTGAGGCTTATCTTTGATAGTGGACATTTGTACTTTTTTGCCCTGGTAACTTTAAGTGAATTACTGGTACATAGCATGCCTCTGGAGATACTTCTGAAATGAAAGATTTTTTTCTTTGTTTTTTTTTTAAAGTATCTCATCTACTCCTGCTGACCAAGTTTGTTTAGTAATAAAATACTTTTATTAGTATTACAACAGCACGCTTCTTACCTATGCTACCTTTGGAGTTTACAGTGTGCACTCACACAGAGCCTATGCTAGAAAGAAATAGCTTGAATTTGTAAAGTTTAAAGAAAAAACTGAATATTTGAAATTTCACATCAGAAATCCTTCATTGTGGCAATCATCTTTTGTGTGTATGTCTGTCTGTAAATTATTTTTAACTACATGTACATACAAATAGCTGTGTAAAGAAATTAACAAATGAACAAATTAAAAATATATGTTTACTATTTATTAAGCCACAAAGATTAGAGCTTAAAATCTAGAGGGGAGACATGTACACTTTGGAAGTAGTATTTCTAGTTTTAACTACCCAAGAAGATTCAAATTTTCAGGAAGGTTGAGGAATTTATGTTTATCTTTGCTTACAGGGAATATGGAGCCATTGATGATGTAGATATTGATCTGCATATTGATGTTAGCTTTCTTGATGTAAGTATCTATAATAGGTTTGGCAAACTTTAAAATATCATATTTGTCACTTTTTTTGAGCTTTGATTTTAGATGGTCACTCTGTTCACTTACATTGCTTCCTCATATAGTATGTTTTATTTTAAGATTTTAAAATATGTAACTTTACTCCTTTACATAGATTATGTGGCATTTGCTTTATCTTTCCTTGTTAAAATGACTTGTGGAGAAAAAACATACTGGCTGGTTTGAGTAATGAAAATCTGTACTTCTTTGCTGTGGTATCTTTTAATAGGTTCTGAAATTTATATGATAGTGTCACGGCATTTCTGTATATCTTAGGCTTTTGCTGTTTTACTGTGTAAGTGAAAAGCAAAGATTAAGAGTAATTTGTTTTTTCCTTGACAATGTAATAGGCTTTAATATTATTTGTAGGCTTTTGTGATTTTTATACCTCTTACCACATAGAATAAATACAGTTGTGTTTAAAAGGGGAAAAAAAGCAATATTCAAGGACTCTATCAGAAGGCTGCTAATTTTTTTTTTAATCTTATTTCAGGAAGAGATTGCTGTGGCTTGGGATGTGATTCGAACGGAGCCTATAATAGTACGACTGCACTGTTCACTTACACAATATTTAAATGGGCCAGGTTGGTCTGATTTCTTTATCTATTTCCTGTTTTTGAAGTGAGAATGAATAGTTTATGAGACAAGCAAATCCTACTCTGATTCAGTCTCTGAATGCTGGGTAACCACCTCGGTAATGCTGTTGATAAATGTTACGAGGTCTAAAGGTTAATGTACCGTAGGGTCACTGGAGTCAGATGTTTGTGGTACTTCACGATCTGGATTTTGAGGAGCCTCAGGTTTCTGCCATGAAACAGTTACTGTAATGCTTAATCATTTAGTTCTCTATGATTTTTTGGTTAGACAGGGTTGCATGTTTAGTTTTATTTTCTAGTAAATGTTCATAGTAAAAGGAATGCAATTCTTGTAACAGAGGATTCCAGCTTATAAATAAATGGCAAATAGGTCATTGATTTATTTTAGGCCTTCTTGACCTCTTGCATGTTTTACTTTTAGCCTCCAAGTTGGGCTAAACTTCCTTCCAATCTCAGTCCTCTTCATATAGCATTCATATTGCTTTCAGTGAGACAGTAAGCATTTATTAAGTGCCTATTATGTGCCAGGCACTGTACTAAGTGGTGTGGATACAGAAAGGCAAAAGAAAGTCCTAGTTCTCAGGAAGTTTGCAGTCTAATCAGAGAGACAACAGGAAAAACAATTATATACAATAGAGCTATTTTTATACAGGATAAATTGAAGGTAAAAAAACAGGATGAAGGTGCTAACATTAAGGGTGCTGGGAAAGGCTTCCTGTAAAAGGTGGGATTTTTATCTGGGACCTGGTGGAAGCCATGGAAGCCAGGAAGAAAGGGAACAGTCACTGAAATTAGCCTAGTCAGGAGGAACAGCTAAGAGGCCAGTGTCATTGAAGCGGGGCAAAATATGGGGGTGGGGATGGGAGTATGTGGCAGGGTAAGGTGTTCCAGAATACTGGAAAGGTTGGAGGGGCCCAGATTGTAAAGGGCTTTGAATCCCAAGTGAGGATTTAATATTTAATTCTAGAATTGATAGAGAGCTACTGGAATTTATCTAATAGGGGGCAGTGACATGGGCAATATCACCTAGCTATTATCTGATTTTTTTCCCTAGAAAATGAAGGGGTTCTAAATCCTACTAAACTATGCCGCCACCCCCCCCCCCGGTTCCTTATTGCCTATAAGATAAAAATTATAAGCCCAGAAATCACAGTCTTTCCCAGTCTAGCTCCAAACTACCTTTTCCCCCCTACCCTTTGGTCAGTGAAAATGTTTACTGATGTGCATAAATAAAAATCACTGTGTTTCCTACAAGCATTGTTAGTAAGTGAGTGCTTTGGTTATATTAGCATTTCTGTGTTAATGGACATTTGAAGAATCTATGTAAACCAACCCCTGGGCATCTGTCTACCCCCCCCAAAAAAAAATCCTGTCAGTCTTTGAGTACTATATAAATTATTTTTATTTGGCATATACTACTATGTATTTGTGCTACATAGTATTCACAAATACAGAAATTAATAGGTGTTAAATTCATAGTGTGTCATTTAGAAAATGATGATTAAGAACTAGTCTAATTTTACTTTGAAATACCTAAACAAAGCAAAATTAGGCTAGGTGATAGATTGGTACATATCATAAAATTAAAAATACTTGGGGAAAAGTCCCTCAAGAACACTATGGACATATATACTAATGAAATGCATTTTCTTTATCTAGCATCAGGACCTGAGATTTCTGTGAGATTTAATTGCCTTCTGTAATGTAACTCTTCACAATCTTGTTTGGGCATCAGTACAGTTTGGCGGCTATGTGGCTTTGGGGAAATTACTTTTTTTTCTGTTTTGTGACCTGGAAGAAGAGCTATTGGATTAGATAATCTCTAAGGCCCATTCTAACACTACAGTTGTATAATTCTTTCATGTATTTTTCTAATTTCTTGAACTTACCTATAATTGTAATCTATGTCCATCTTAGGGTAATGTATTCTATAGATTTATGGATCTCAGGGAACTTTTCTAACTTGATTTTTTTTTCTTCCTTAAACGTTAGGGGTTGGGATTGGGTTTTTAAATTTCTTTTTTGCTTCCTTTATCCTCCTTTAAAGCAGGCACAATATTGTATCTGTATTACATGATCAACACTTATTGATTTGTTATGGTTAATGCTTTCAGTATAAAGTCATGTTTGGTTTTTTTTTTGTCCAAAAATTCAACTTTGAGATTGTTTCTATTTCTGGATTCAGAATAGTATTTGATAAACAATTCCATCTGTACCCTGTTACACTTTGAAACTTTCTAGGTTGTATTCACTCTCAGTCTTCATTCTTCTAGACTAGGAGGTCTTAATCGAAGGCCATGAACTAAGATTTTGGTTTTTATTTTTAATATTTTGGTAACTATTCAATATAATTTTAATCTATATATTCTGTTTTTTGCATTTCAAAAAATGTTCTCAATAGGGTTCCATGACCCTAAGCAGTCATTCTAATGGATCCACATAAAAATTTAAGAACCTCTGCTCTTAGTAAAGAAAAGGTTTTGACAAAATCTCACACCAATTTCAATCAAAAATTCTGGAAACCAATTATTTGATTTTCTTACCTTAATATAGTAAATAATATGTATCTAAATTCAGGAACAAACATTATATATAAAAGAGTAAAAAATGTTCTAAATCATCAAGTGTAAAGCAAGGATGCCCATTATCACCATTGTTCCTTAAATATAATGTAATAAAACAGCAAAAAGAAATTGAGAGAATGAACATAGGCAGAGGAAATAAAATGAATAACTTTTTGCAGATCTGTTGATGTACTTAGAGAACTTTAATTACTTAACTAAAATTAATTGAAATAGTTAATATGAAAAACATTAGTTACTCATAGGTAGATCAACCCAGTATAATAAACATGACATCTAAATTAATTTACTTACTCTGTTCCCCACAAATTAAATTTCTGAAGAAATATTTCATTGAGCTAAAAACATAATCAAATTCATATGGATGAACAAAAGTTCAAGAATCTCAATGGTAATCTAAATGGTAATGGTAATCTCATTGGTAATGGTAATAATGAAATAAGTGAGAAGGAAGGGTGTCTATCATGAGCAGATCTCAACTGCAGAGCATTAACTATTAATTTAATTTGGTGAGAGAGAATTAGATATACTACATACAGAAACGTAGCTTGATGTTCATAAACCCAAACGTTGCAGCTACTGGAGGAAGGACTAATTATTTGAGGAAAATCTTTTGGAAAAACTCGTTCGCCTTCTGAGAAAAAAAAATGGATAAAGACCTAAGCCTTACACCATAAACCAAGATAAATTCTAAATGGTTATCTGACCTGGATGTAGAAGATGACATTATAACAAAATTAGAAGTTGAGAGGAAAATTTGCCTTATGGATCTATAGATTAGAGAAGATTTCATGACTAAACAGGCAATGGAGAGAATCACTTAAAATGGACAATTTGATTATATAAAATTAAAAAGGTTTTGCTCGTGCAAATCTCATGCAGTAAAAATTTGATTTTTTGGGAAAATATCAGTGACTTTTTCTGAGAAAGGTCTCTCTTTTCCTTGGTATATCAAGAACAGATTCTAATTTATATGACTATAGGACATCAAAGAAAGTAATCCAAGCTGTCAAAAAAAATACTCTAAATCATTAGTAATTAGATGAGTGCAAATTAAAGTAACATTGAGATTTGAGGTTTTGAGACTGGTAAAGAGGAAAGGAAAATGCAAATGTCATAAAGGCTGTGGAGAAGACTTGAGATACTAGTGCACTGTTACGAGAGATATCAGGTGGTCCAACCATTCTCAAAAACATTTTGAACTATGCCTCCAAATTTACTAAAATGCACATGTCTTTTGACATAGCTATATCACAAGTGAGTCTATACCTTCAAAGAAATCAAAGAAAGAGGAGGACTTACATTAAAAAAAATTTTTGTAGTTCTTTTTGTACAAAGTTGCAGAAATTTGAAACAACAAATGGGTTCCAGTGGGTCGTGGCTAAATTGGCTGTAGTATATGAATGTAATAGATTGTGCCATAGCAAATGATGAAATGATAAAAGTTTTTAAGGAAACTGAGAAGCTCCTTATGAATTGAAGCAGAGTGAACTGAGTAGAACTACAACAATTTTACAGTGATAGCATTGTGGACATCTTTGAAAGATTTCGAAGCTTTGATTGATGTAATGATAAACTATGAGTCCAAAAGAACGAGAATGAAATACATTGTTTACCTTACATTTAAAATGCAGAAAGAAATATATGTTTTAAAACATGGCCAATGTAGAAATGAATTTTTCCCCTAGAATACACAGCTGTGTGTCACATGCTTTATTTTTCTGTTTGTGTTTGCTCAATGGTAGGGGAGGAAGGGTAGTGAGATAAACATATGAACTTTTTAAAAAGGAGAAAAAAAGATCCCCCTTTTCAAATTTAAAGATCTTATAATTTCTTATTGTCCCAACAAGTCCAGATGTATTCCTGGCAGAGCTAAGAGGCTATTTTGAGTGCTTCATGTTTCTATCCTTGTATATTTACTCTTGTTAAGTCTTGAGTATGTTATACATTTTCTGTAGGGTGAAATGGTGTCTGTCCTGCACTCAATACTCATGGTATACTGAGTTCTTATATATCATTTGAGGACCCAGTCACCCACTGTTGAGGAGAGCTGGATCAACAAACAATTCCTAAGCTTTATTTTGGATGTTTACCCGGATGTTTGGATATTTAATTCTAAGTCAGGAAAAGAATCAGACAGTAAATATAACATTTTTGTATTTCTGCCCCCCAGGATCCAGACCCTGTCTATGTGAGCCTGTCCATTAAAAAAAATAAAATACTTGACATCCCTTTTGGGCATGACTCTTGGATTGAACTGTTGGCACCAGAGCAGAAGAATAGATTTATGACCTGTCAGTTCAATTCAACAAACATTTATTAAGTAGCTACTGTGTTCAGCTTGAGTGTCCCTGCTCTCATGGAGTATACAGTGGTAGTGGTTGGAGAGCATTTGGGTCTGAAGGGGATAGACCTCAGAATCCTATCTCACCATGGGTCTGTCTTCTCTTTTATCTTCTTATTTCATTCTTGTATGCTTTCCATTTGGATCAGATTCACAAATGGCCACTTTTGCCCTTAGTCCAGGGGTTGGTCCTTGGGACCTGTCTGGTCCAGGCGAGTCTTAAGAAGTCTGTTCTGTGTGTTGACCTTTCTTGAAGCACTGAATAATTTCTGTACAACAACTTCTGTGTCCTGTTCAGATTATAGGACTCTTAAGACATGATCATTTAAAATGGAAGAGAATTAAGGTTATGTTTTGCTTTTAAAATTTAAAGCATTAAGATTTTGATCTTGATCTTTTTCTTTTTCAGTGCCCACTGTGGATGTGTTTCAGATTTCCACAAAAGAAAGATTTGGATTGGGACATCAGTTGAAAAAGTAAGTTTATAAAAGAAACAAAACTAACATTTATGGGAAAGGATTTTATTAATGCTTGTTTTCTTTCTTGAAACCAGGAGAGGTTCTTGAGTAAGGGTGATTCTGTCATAAGGTCATCACTGTATAAGAACTTAAGAACACTTATGCACAAACACACACAGACACACACACACACACACACATACATATATACATATATGCATACACCTTTCCTCCCGTCTCTAAGAACCTCCTTTTCAAGAGCTTGGCTAGAACAGCTCTCTTTTGGTTCCCCATTCTTTTGAATATCTTGGGTTCTGAACTAGTGCCTAGTTTTATATAAACTTCTCCCACCAATACTAAGTATCTTAATCAAAAGCAATGTCTTACCTGTTTTTGTTCCAGTCACCCAGTTTTTTTTCAAGGGTTTGTCATACTTATTCCTAATTCTCTGTTTTTGTGTTTTTTTTTATAAAATGCAGGTGTTTATACCTTTTTTGGACCTCTGATTTCCTTAATTTAATTAGAATATGCTCTCAACTGATAAAGGCATAAAAGCATAGGATAACTGATGCATTAATTCAATGAAACTACACTATAATTTTATCAGTATGAGGAATTCCTGATGTGAAAACTCCTTTAAGTAATGCACAAAAAAATGCACAAAACTTATCTGTAATATACAATCTAGGGCAGAGGTGTCAAACATCCCCCTGAATCAGATTAAAATGTAATTGGAAAATGTCAAAATAAATAAAAATACCACATAGGAAAAATCAGGTTAATTTGTGGTTTTCTAAGTCAATATGCAGCCTTTAAGGCAGTTTGATACTTTCCAGTTGGGGCATGCAGTAAGAGGGCATGAACCTAGTTCTCCCTGATGCTGAGGCTCACTCGCTGGGCCCCATTGCCTTTTAGTCCATATTTAATGTATATTTTCAGTTTTGTAAATAATTCCCTTATTAATGGGAAATCCAAAGCTGGAAACTTTGGATATCTATAAAACAGAAACCTTCAAAGTGAGAAGACAAAAACTTAGAAATTGCTGTTAAAGTCATTCCTTTTATTTTGTAGGGGAGATTTTAAATCAGAGTCTATGGACTCTTGTACCCTCATACTTAACAAGTTTTATTTCAAACACCAATGAATTAGAAGTGGTAAGAGAGGTAGGCAGACTAATAGAGGTAAGCACTTTTGACAGCTTGATAGCAAAGAAATAAATAAAATTGTGTAGTAGCCATTGGCTCTTTAGTGTAAATACCATTAGCCCTATAAATCTTCAGATTCAAAGAACATTGTTTTACATCTGCCGTCATAGTAGACATGAATAATGGTGAGTTTGAATCATCACTCAAGTCACTGATGTCTGTCCCACATATATTGTTTACAAAAGAAAAAAAATGTGAATTTGGAACTCAAAATCTTATAAAAGTGAATGTTGAAAACTGTCTTTGCATGTAATTGCGGGGGGGGGGGAAGACTAAGGAAGATGTAGTGACTCACCCATAGTCATAGAAATAGTAATGGACAGGATTTGAACTTCAGGGTTCAGTGATTCTTCTTTCCACTTTACCACAAGACCTCAGAGCACTTTGGAACAGTATGTGAATGTGAACCAGTTAATATATAATAATATTTCTGCCATAAATAATTCAAAGAGAATGCCTCCTACTACTAACTCTAATCTTAACCCTAACCAACTCTAACCCTAACCCTCACCCTAACTCTTGACTTCAAATCCGGTGTTCTTTGCACTAAAATGTGCCATATCAAAAATAAATTGCTATTTAAGATATTAAAAAAGTGACCTGTGTTGCCAAGATTCTCATCTAAATGGCTGAAATATTTTTTTTCCAAAGAGGGATAAACATCATTGGTTTTTTGCCATTCACACATAGACTGTTTTGCTGATGCCAGAAAAGATTAGATGACATTCTCTTTGAATTATTTATGGCAGAAATATTATTATATATTTACTGCTTCACATTCACACACTGTTCCAAAGTGCTCTGAGGTCTTGTGGAAAGAAGAATCACTGAACCTTGAAGTCCCAAATCCTGAGCTTTGACCCTGGCTTTGCTACTAATCATTGTGATTCTGGACAAGTCCCCTCACCTCTCTGTGGTAAAGTTTCCTTACTTATAAAATGAATGTTGTACTACATCATTTCAAGTCCTTCCAATTCTTAAATTATAGGATTTTCCCTTTCATTTTATCTTCATGATATTATAGAGGAGGAAATAGTAGTACATAATAGGTTAATTGAATTTTTATGTGTCATATAACACATGAATGAGTACAGTAGCATGAAAACTCAGGAATCCATTCTTGTTTGCAACTATGTGATTGTTATGTCCTCTTTATAAACCTTCTGTTTTAGAATGTGTAGTGTATAGAAGATTATATAATAATTCTATGCTTTGTCTTTAGCATTGGTACTCTGTATAGGTGGAATAGGCAGCTACATAGTGTGATTGTAAAGTTGCTGAAATGTCCTTCCTCTCAATATGTCTACTTCAGCCACCTGGCCAGATGCCTGCATTTTTTTTTCCCATTAGTCACACTTTTGGGTTAAAAAGACTCTGGAGCCTTCTATTAAAATGCAAATGTAACTTAGGAATGGGGAACATATTAAGCTGTTTTCACTCCTTTACACTTTGGGTTATATTCATTTGTCAGTTAACAGGTTTTGTAACCTGGCCCTCAAAAAACCCAAGATAGGCAAGGTTGGATAGGAAAATGACATTTTAAAAAGTCATGAAATGAGTATGGTCTATTAAGACTCTGTATAAAGACAAAGAGCTTTTCATTCTCGAGGTGAGAAAAGGTATAAATTTCTGGCTGGTGGGTAGAAGGGAAATAAAATTCTACCTGCTTCAAAATTACTTAAGGTCTGCTCTACACATGGTGTTATTTTCACATCAAATCTTCTAAAATGATTTTCATGAAGGAGAGTATAATAGAATTGGGCATTTACTCTCATCTCATTATTGAAATGGAATTGATTCATTTCTTAGGCAATAAAACAAAGAAATTAGTGGCAAACTAAATCATATTCCCTGTAGTTTTTTTTTTTAAAAAGTTAATTAAATTTATTAAAAATATTATGTCATTCTAGTTGTACAACTACTGTTGATCCTGAAGGCTGTTCTGAAAGGACTTTATGCAATTGATTTGTTAGATACTTGTTATCCTTATTCTTTCATTCCTTTTTCTTTCCATCCTTCTGTTCTTCCTCCTTCACTCCCTTCTTTCTTTCTTCCCTCCCTCCCTTCTTTCCTTCCTCCCTCCCAATCTTGCTCCATTCTTCCTCCTTCCTTCCTTCCTTCCTTCCTTCCTTCCTTCCTTCTCTCTCTCTCTTTCTCTCTCTCTCTTTCTCTCTTCCATTCATCCCTCCCTGCCTTCCTCCCTCCTTCCTTCTGAGATGTTATAGCCATATTTACAGAAAGCTTTTGCCACATACCTGACTTAAAAAATACATCGTGTGGTCCTTAAGTAACAGCACTCTGAGGTTCGTGTTGCACTTCCACCAATGCAGAACTTTTCTATCAAAATAAAAATCTCACCTTGGAACTATGATGACAGAGCTTCTTTCAATTGACAGAATCATGCAGACATATGTTACACAACAGTGGAAACAGAGCAAAGAAAAATCCAACTGCACACACAATAAGAAGTTCTCAGAGAAGAAAGTGAAATCCCCTCTTCACATATTTTCTACCTTGCGCAGGTAACAGTTACAAAAGATGATAATAATACCATTTTCTTCTTTCTAATGGCAGTCTTTTTAATTTGTTCATTTCTCTTTTAATAACTGTCACTAACTTTATGCACTGAATCTCGCTCTTTCTCTTTCAACTTCATTTTACTAACTCTGATCACCTCTAACGTTCACAGGTATCTTTTTGGAGTTTATTTGTTACATATACAGTTTATTACCACTTCTCAGAATGTGTGCATGCAGTATTAAAATACTTACCTTTAATTTGGGACTGAATATGTATTATTTTGTTTAAATAACAGTTTATTTATCAGGAAAAGTTCTTTCATGTTCCTGAGAACACACAACTCCTGACTTAAATGTTCTAGTTCATTAGAAAACATGTTATATGCCAATGTTGAAAATACTCATTCAATTAAATTCAGTTTATTTATTTATTTATTTTGTGAGAGGAGCTCTTAACCATACAGGTAGTATCTGAATGATTTTTATGTCGACTGTGACCTGTAAAAATTCTCCTTTTTTTTTTTTTAAGGTCGCCGAGTTACCCTCCCCCAGGTTGTGGTAAAAGCAAATCCAAACTGAAACCAGAGCAAGATGGCATCTCCAAAAGTCACAAGCTGCTGCGAAGGACTTGTTCCAGCACAGTCAAGGCTGAGGACGTGTGTGGGACCAAGTCCCACAGGACCTTTGGCCGCTCCCTGTCCAGCGACCCCCGGGCTGAGCAGGCCGTGACTATTAAGTCGCACAAGCTGCTGAGCCGTCCCTGTGCTGCGGCTGTCAAACAGGAGGAGTGCATCACTCTAAAGCCTCATAAATTATTGACTCGATCGTGTTCTGGGGACCCTCGATGTGAGCACAACAGTACTCTGAAGCCCCACAAACTGCTGAGCAGATCTTACTCCAGTAACCTGAGAATGGAGGAGCTGGATGGGCTGAAGAGCCACAAGTTACTCAGCAAGTCTCAACACAGCGCCCCCAAATCGTCGTCCAAAACGGAGCTTTTCAAGGAACCCATTGCAGAGGGCAGGAGACTCTCTCTTACCTCAGGGCTTATTGGTATCTTAACACCCTCTACATCTTCATCGCCCCAGACTGCTGTGCGTAAATCTTTTTAATTTAAGACCGTTAAATAAAATGGTAGCCAAGGGTTCATGAGAAGGAGAATGGCAGAATGACTAAAGAGCTAGTCCCAAAGTCAGAAAAACTTAGGTTCAATGTCCCACCTCTGACATTGACTGGTAAATTTGGATTAAGTTATTTAAGTTCTCACTGCCCTCAGGTAACTTTCAAAAACCATGAGTTGCAGAAAAAAATACATGGGCATTGGTAGAGTAAGTTGATCAACTAGAGCGTTCTACATTGATAAAATCTGTGGTCTGATGTCCCTCACTCGCCTCTTTCAACAGACAAAAAGATGGGGACAGGTTAAAGGCATATATGGCAACTATAGGCAATAGAATTTTTTTGGACGGGGTCGGGGGGAGGAATGGGGTTGCCTAAAACACTGGTACCAAGGTTTTGGATTGGGTTTCCAAAAGAAAAGTGCAACTATTCATTTGGGATTTATACACATTGCCTCTGTCATGGAAATGTGTGAAAAGGAGCTCCATTAATACCAATTGTGGTAATATGTTGAATACTTGATAAAAGAAAACCTTCCCTTTTGATGTTATAACATAAAATTATTTAACTTCTAATCCTCTCTTCTGACTTTTGTTTTATGGTTAAATTTTAGAGACAGATCCCTTCTCGTCAAGCTTAATAGTGAGGCTATATCTGAGTAGTATTTCTCATATATATATATTTATAGATAGATAGATAGATAGATATGTGTGTGTGTGTGTATATATATATACATATATATATATATATATGTATATATGCATGCAATATTTAAATTATCACTGCAAAGTTATGCTCCAGGTCCAGATTATGAGATAATTAGCTGATAATGAGGCCACTTTGCTACTTTAGTAACTTAAACCCTTCTGGATGAAATTCAAGACATACCAGCCTCAGACCAAATTTATTTTTTTCAAAAAAGGGCAGAGCAAAATTAATATTTGTTGTTTGTAAAGAGGTATTGAGCGGTATTGAAAAAAGCCAGCTAGATGGTAACAGTGCTTGAAATTTGGACAGCTCATCTTTTTGAGTTCAAATCTAGCCTCAGATACTTAGTAGCTATGTGACCCTGTGACCCTAGGCAAGTCATTTAATGCTGTTTGCCTCAGTTTCGTCATCTGTAAATGATCTGGAGATGGAAATGGCAAACCACTCCAGTATCTTTGCTGAGAGAACTCTAAATGGGGTCATGAAGAGTCAGACACGATTGAAACAACAAAGTGATATACAAGCCATTTCTGTTACTGTCACTGACAAAATGGTGTCCAATTGGAATCAAAGGAGCATGTTTTACTCTTACTAGGCCAATTAAGTTTTCTTTAACATTAATTGTTGATATTATTAAGATCTCTTTTAGCACTGACATTCTCAGATTCTGTGAATCCTTTTTATAAGTAATATTAGAAACTAGAAATGCCAGAATGTGTACCTAATGAGAAAGAGAGAATACTTGTTTTCAGCTACTTGTTTTTCAGTAATTTTATAAATGTAATGCATGCACATTACCACTTCAAATCAAAAACAGTGTTTAATTCTTGTTTATTTATGAAAACTTCCTTCTGTCCATTGTACATTTATGCCAGTGTTCTTAAAGGATGCATCTTATAAAAATGTGTTTGGGGTGAGATGGGCAAAGTTATTTTGGATATAGTCAACAATAATCCTTTTTCATACATAAGTAAGATATTTTCAGAGACACAGAAGGGAAGGGGGTGTGAAAGACAACATTCAAAGAGCAGTAGTGCCATTCTCAGCATCTACACAATCTGTTTTTTATAAGCAGATTCATAGATTTCAGTGAGAATCATGACAAATAATATGGAGCAAGATGTCTAGTTACAGTCATCTAACTAGAGTGAGAAGTTGAATTGGGATAAAATAATCAGGGAGACAAATCATGCTACCCTTTCTACTAGAAGACATTGAGAAACTAAGCAAACTGACATTTTTATTTGGGAAATGAGAGCAGTGATGGCAGAGACAATGAGGAATTGGGGAACCATAGAATGAATGAAGAAATAGCAAAATCTTGTTTTTGTGCTTTTTGGTTTAAAGTTCCAATTCATGAAAGCATAGAAAACTATCACTAGATTCATGGTTTTCAAGAAAATGTCAGTTTTTTTAAAATTTATAACTGTTTTCTTCAAGTGTGCTCTTTTTTCTATTTATAGCCAAATTATAATGCAAAATGCATTCCAGTACGAGACCGAGGTTTTCTTATACAGGTATGATAGAATATTCCATGTATTATTGAAATAGTTTAGCTCTGTATCTGCCCTTTAATCATATGTAAGTAGAACTTGCTATTTTCATTTCTATTTTCCTTAGACAATTGAGTTTGCTGAGCAGCGGATACCTGTTCTAAATGAATACTGTGTAGTCTGTGATGAACCCCATGTGTTTCAAAATGGCCCAATGTTAAGGGTAAGTTTTCATGTCTAGAAATTTTACTTTTAATTGAATAAACAAATGAAGAAACGTTAAAAACAAAAGATGATTACTTTTAGCATACGAACAATATATATTCCCAATTATATGTTGTTTGTGCTAAAGAGAATGGTAATGACCTAAAAAATTTCATCTCACTAGTCAACAGAGAGTAGATCAGATACTAATGAAAGCATTCTTTCTGGATCTAATGCATAGGTAACTTCCTAGAAACACTAAAGCTTAGTAAATAAAGAAACAGCTAAAGTGATATAGGATGTGTAACTTGAAGGAAAAGAATAGGGTATTGATAAATTGCTGGCATTTTTGTAGATAAAAAATGCCAGATATTTTCAGACATGAAAGCTACATTGTGATCGGCTTTTGGGGAATAATTTTGCTGTGTTTTTTCTTTTCCAACATGTGCTGATGTGTATCTGTGATATTTTGATATTATACATACCTATGCCTCTTTAACCTTTTCTATAATTCAGTATGTCAGTAAGCACTATTAAGCAAATTAATAAATCCGTAAGTATTTATTTAGTGCCATTTAGTGTGCTAGACTCTGGTGATGCGAAAAGAGGCAAAAAACTGCCTCTGCCCTCAAGGAGCTCACAATCTAATAGGTTGGGGTTGGGGGGGCAGAGTGGAAATAAAAATTATGCATGCACAGTTATATGCAATATAAATAGGAAATGATTAACAGAGGGAAGACACTAGGATTGAGTGTTTAGGAAAAGCATCTTGTGGAAGATATGATTTTTGTTGCAATTTAAAGGAAGCCAAGAAAAGATGAGGAGGAGAAAGAACATTCTAGGCTTGGGGAACAATGTGAGAAAATTCCTGGATCCAAAAAATGTCTGTCTGTCTATCTGTCTGTCTCTTTTTTGCTGGAGGTCAAAGTGTAGCTTGGTCTCTACAGTGGTGTCCCAGCCACTTTGTGTTAATTTTTGAGACTGTTAATTTTATTCGACTGTTTGGTAATGGGGGGGTGGGGGGGGAGCTAGTCTGATTTCCAGAATTTTACAAAATTGGCTTTAGATCTTGAATGAGTAATTTGTCTAGAAAAGTGACAAACAATTCTATAGGAAATAGAATTGAGCTGTCTTAAAGAGGTGACCTTCTAGGATCAAAATATGTGAGGTATAGGTGCTTTATCTGTTTGGTCCCATTCGGTTGCTGTTTTTTAATTTTCATTCTGAGATGACAAGATTGATAAATTGGTTTGAGGCCTCTAAAAAAAAAACAACTGCAAAATATTGTGCTGGTGGTGTGTTCTTTTCAGGTTTATTACTTGACAAGCAAATGAAATTTCATCCCCTAGTTGGAGATTAAAATCTCTGATGTGAAATAAATCTTTTACTTTCTTCACCAACACTCTATACTCTATCTGTATCTGAGGGCTCTGTTTTTCTTTTAGTTTCTGTGCTCTCATCCTTTCTCTTCTATGATGTTACTGCTAATTTTAAGCATTTTAGATGAACAGGTGCCTGTGGTTCTGTGACAGGGGAAGGATTTAGAGTTAGAGTTTGCTGTCGCAGCAAAGAGGAGTTTATTGACAGTATCTATTCATGCCTCATACTTGAAGTAGGGCATATCTCTCCCTCCCTTTCCCCCCCAACACACACACACACACACACACACACACACACACACACTCTCTCTCTCTCTCTCTCTCTCTCTCTCTCTGTCTCTCCCCCCCCCTCCCCATACAAAGGGTGTGCTCTAAGCTTTCAATATCAATACAAGGACATTACATCTACATTATGTCATTCAAACAGAAATCCTCCCATAACCTGGGTAGTGTTGCATCTCCACCCCTACACTAATCTCTCTTAAAGCAAGAATCCCTAAATAATCAGGCATGCTATATTTGGAGCAGTCTCCAGAGAAATGCCTGTCAGCCTGTTAGGACTTTCACTGAAATTGTAGAGACTTTAACTCTAGCTTGAGGCTGTGGAATATGGAAAACCAGCCTTTACTCCACTCTTATTCTGCTTTCAGAGTACGAGTGAGACTCAGGGCCTTTTTGAAAATCAATCAGAGGTAGCAGTTGGGAAAGAAAAAATATTTTCTCCCCAGTGCTATTCTCTTTTCCCAGAAATAGGCCCTTTCCTAGTGCCAAACTGCTATTCACTTTTTATTTCTTAATTTTTTTTTCTTTCCATACTCCAAAGGTTCTAATACTTGACGAAACAGAAGCTCATTGTTTTTAGTTAACACCTTACTTTGAGCACTAGTCAAGGAAATCAGTTCCCTAGAATGTGGAAAACAGATCTTTGTTCATCTACAGAATAAGCTTAGTTTTTTCCATGATGACCTCAAATGGTAAAAGTCATTTTAAAGTTTTCTCACATATTTTGAATATGTATTACAACTGCCGTGGAGCTCAGGCAACTATTCAGAAGTGTCAGAGTTGTTTTTTTGTTTTTTTTTGTTTTTCATTTTGGAGCAGTGTTTTTTGGTTAAAAGTTGTGGGAGAGCAACAAAGGAATGGGACGTCCTTCAAAAGTGTTTCTTTCTTTGGAAAAGGAGGGACTAAAACAGAATACCCATACAAAGCTCTGGTGCTAATAAGAAATGTTGAGAATTTTTGCTCATTTAATGATGATTATATACAGTTTCAAATGTTTATAAAATGGATGCATGACTGTCATCAGAGAAATAAATAGCAAGGAGGGGAATTGGGAGAATCAGAGATATCTGAACAAGATTCTTATTCTATTGGCAATTTTAATCTTTCTACAAGGTGGCATCCAATAGATTGGATAGATCTTAACTCCACATTCTTGCTTGGACATGGGCAAGAGTTATATAAGATTGGACAGAAAAGTTATGATGTGAATTTTTTGAGGCAACATCCGCATGGAAAGACACAGATCTGTTAGGTTAATGAAATATTATTTTATGACATTATTCCTTATATCCACTGCAACTCATACTAGTCACTTGCCACTGCTAATGCCAATGATGATGAAGTTATTTCAGAATCCTGTCTCAGGCATTTGCTAGCTGTTTGAGCTAACGTCCCTTCTAGTTCTACAGTTATGATCTATACATCTGTGTTTTCTTTACTTTAGACCTGAGCCTCTTTTTATGTTAAGAATGAGAAATAAAACTATGTTTTTCCAGCTGTATATTTTGCAAAAGAAAAGCCAAGATTTTAGATTAAATGAAACAGCAAAGATTTTCTTTACACACACATAATATACATATAGCACAGGAGTATGTGTATTGTGTGTGTGTAAACAGAAACATGTTTATTTAAATAGGAATTTATCTATACATATTCATATATAATGTTTGAAAAAAAGGAATTTATCTATACATATTCATATATAATGTTTGAAAAAAAATTTTCAAATATCAGCCATATTTTTTTAAATGGACAACCTATAGAAATAAGTTTTCTAGTTGTGCAATTTATTGAACTCTACTTCTAGCTCATGAGTAAGGCCTCATTAAGGAAGATCAACAACAAATGTGAACTTTCCTAGCCATCAAATTCTTAAATTGGTTTAAGTGTTCTAAAAAGTTTTGTGATAGTCTTTTACTCTCAATACATGCCTCCTTACTCTGCTGTGCAGATTATTTCCCTTCTCAATAGATAGTACCAGGGTTGGGGGCCTTTTGACTCAGAAAACTCAGGAAAAGTGCTCCCTACTCTGTGCACGGTTCCCTGCTGTTTAATATGTTGAGGTAAATGGCCCATATATACAAGAATATTTATAGAAGCACTGTTTGTTGTTGGGATAAAACAACAAACAGAAGCCAAATAGTTACCCATCAGTTTCAAAGTGGTTGAGCAAATTTTGGCATATGAATGAAAAAGAATTTTATTATGCCATAAGAAATGACAAATATGAATGATTTAGAGAAATTAAAAAGATTATCTGCCTATCATCTATCTCTGTATATCTGTCTGTCTTCAACGTTGTATGAAAAACAAGAGTTAACTTGTCTTATGAAGGGCTGAAGAGAAGTTGAGATGAAAGTCTTTGGTGTTATGCTTCAAAGGTCTGGAAGGGTGGTGGGTACCAAAATCTTCCTACCTTACCCATTCCCACCTTATGACTAAGAAAATAGCTCAACCTCATTGTTCTTATTTCAGCGTTCCATGTCCATACTTGGTGATGTCAAACATTAAATTTTGTTACTGCAACAATCAGAATAAAGGCTTGATGATTTTAAGGAATTTTATTTTATTTATTTATTTATTTATTTATTGGTAATTGGGGTTAAGTGACTTGCCCAAGGTCACACAGCTAGATTTTTTTTAAGGAATTTTAAAATGAAAAGAAGACTTGATCACTTTCTTCTGGCATTTCATTTCCTTCATTTGCTTGTAAATGCTTCTCCAAAAGAGTGGTTACATGCTATACCTTCATGCACAATAAGGAAGGGAACAGGAAATCTACACACAAAATTTTTTGTCCAGAATAAATTTACTAAAGGATGTTAGATACATCAGGATGGTGGTGGACATAAAATACTTTTGTCCTCTGAGACCATATTTGGCAAGTTTTCCACCTTTCCCTTTTTATATAGGTACCATCTCTGTTGTATATTAGTGATGATCTCACCTTTCTGAGGTTCCATTCAAGGTGTGATTTGTTACCTTTTTCTTTAGATTGTTGTTTGGGAATCTAGCATAATTGGAAGAGAATGATGAGAGTATGGGACTGAAACATCTTCTCATTTACTCAAGGTTAGCTGACAAGGAGGGTATAGAGGATCTTTTCTGTGACACCAAATGTTATGGGACAATATGGATTCAGATAGAGAATTATATGTGAGATTATTGTTGGGAAAAGAGTGAAAGCTTCCCCACTTAAGAGGTAAAAGGAAAAAGAAAAGAACAATTGATATATAATACATTCCAGTTGTCTAGCAAGTGACAAGAGAATGGTTCTCTAGAGGGAGAGAAAAGGTATAAACTTCTAATACACAAAAAAATTTTTAGGGGGTGCAATTAAGGCCTTAGTTATTAATGT